GCTCTTTGACACATAGCCTAAGTCAGCTGGTTTTGTATTTGCATCTAGAAGCACTTACCAAATTACATTGTTTTTTCATTTATAAATCTCTCTTCCTCATCAGATTGTGAACTTATTTATACTTTTTGTTTTTCCAGCACTCACTGTAGACCCCATTATTTGGTAGACACTCAGTAAATATTAACCAAATGAATGCGGTCTGTACCAAAAAGGTAACTCTATTATGTATTTAGCATTGTCCTGGCCTTTATTAAAAAGATATTATAAGAATTCAGATATTAGGAGAGATTGGAAAGGGTACAAGAAGAGCAAAATAATTATATTGTTTGACCTGTGAAAAAAAGCTGGAGAGCTGGGGAAAAAACTTTAGAGAAAAGAAAACAGCAAGGCTATTTACAAAAAGAAAAAGAACAGGTAATATAGAAAAAGGTTAGCATTCCCTTCATGAAGAGTAACTAAGCTCATCATAGTCAGGGTAATTCAGTGTAAACATCTTTTTGATAGCAAGTGTAGAGAGGCATTGGAAGAAGTCACTGAAGTTTTAGAGGGAAAGTTGCTACTCCTTTGTCACACTTCACCACAAGCTATGCAGGGAGGGTAGTGTGAATAGCTGATGCCTGGTGGCCTCTTATATTTCTGTGTCAAAATTTGGAAAATGTTATAACCATCATCCAACTAATAAATACTTTTTGCAGTTTGAGATTCCCCAAACCCATGCTTACCAGGGGCAATTGTGGAGGTGGGAGAGATGGGATCTGAGGAAAAAATGGTGGTCCTTGTGGTAGGTAAAAGTTAAATCTCTATAATAAGAAACATGATGTCAGTCATTCCAAACATTTGAAAACTTTTAAAATGATGAACATGTCATTTGAAAATACAACCAGAAGTTTACCTGACCACTGGAACTTCCTCCAGACTGTTCAAGCTTGTAAAACAATAACAGCAACAAGGTAAAGCAACATATGGCAATACGTTATTCATTACAAAGAGATTTTATTCTGAATGAGACTAGGTAACAAGCCACTATTGAGCATTATACGCATCAGTGACGTAGCTGTCCTGGAATAGGGAAAAGTTGAATTAATTTTGTCCAGTGATTTAGAACTTGTACTTCTTACCTTTAAACTTATTTCCAAAGAATGTTTTCTCTTTTTTTTTTTTTTACATTTTGTAAAATTAATTACATATTGCATGCCTCTTCATCTTCAAATCAACAGTGTTCTCAGTTTAATTCTCAGCATTTATCAGTTCAAAGTGGAGAGAGTATGGAAGTGTAAATTTAAAGTTTGTATCCCCAAATACAGATTTTGAAAGCTCCCTCACTTCTCTGAAGGCTCCTTTGTTACAAAATGTTTAGGGGACAGGTGTTCCTGCCTACTAGGTACCCTACCTAGTCAGACTATAATAAGCAGAGCTTAAACTCATAGATCTCATTCATATAGATGGGGACGCATGTCTATAATCAACATGAGATGGTTTGGGGTAAGGGTATTGTAAACAAAACTCAATTCAAACTGCCTAATTAAGACTTAGGTCACTGTGGAATACTTGCTCTATATTGCTAAGTTTATTTGAGAGCTTCCTATGTTCCAGTTAGGACTGTTAAGTGCGTTAGATGCATTTTTATCATCCTTGCACAATTCTGAGGTAGTTCTTACAACTCATTTTACAGTCTGGGAAGCCATGGGTTAGTTCCTCACTGAAGGTCGTGCAGCTTGCAAATAGCATGTAGAACTGGGATTTGTACTGGGAAGACCCTTGGGCTGAAGAAGAGTGGTAAATTCCTGGTTCTACAACTTTCCTGGAGTCCACTTTCCTCTTCTGTGAAATGAAAAGGTAAAGGTAACACTTTCTAGCCCAGAAATACGATGTCTCTAGAATGGAAATGGAGTGGGAAACTGAGGAACAGTACTCACAGGGATGGGCAGAGCAGTGGCAGTTATCAAAAGGCCAGCAAGGATAAGAAATTTCATTCTGAAGGAAGAGTCTGGAATTGAAGGGTTAGGAGATCATTTTTAGTTTTTTCTAAGTCTTATTCCCGTTATTAATAGACTGTTTAGTTAGAGGTGTTGAATAGTGGTCAGACTAAATTCTGTCTCTAGATCCAGGTTTTGTAAACCTACATCAGTGCCTTAAAAACAGTGTTTAAGGACTTCCCTCGTGGTCCAGTGGTTAAGACTCTGCGCTCCCAATGCATGGGGCCCGGGGTTTGATCCCTGGTCAGGGAACTAGATCCCACATGCATGCCGCAACTAAGAGTTCCCATGCCGCAACTAAAGATCCTGCATGCTGCAACGAAGATCCCATGTGCTACAACTACAGAAAAATAAAAAAGATCCCACATGCTACCATGAAGATCCCTCATGCAGCAACGAAAATCCCGTGTGCCACGACTAAGACCCAGCACAGCCAAATAAATTAAAAAATGAATAAATAACTAAATATTTTTTTAAAAAAACAGCTGTCTTTAGACAAGACATGCATTCTGTGGCTCATAACATTGCATATACTTACTACTCTTCCTTGTGATCTCACAGTTCAACCTGTACTGTTTGGTCCCTGAAGTTATTTGAACTTGTGATCTCTACCCACAAATCTTCAAACACCAATGTCGTATCATACTTAGGATCAGAGATATAACACCACTGGCTCAAGTGAGATTTCTTATGTAATATACAAATAAATCCACCTTGAACTTCTACCCCCCATGAGATCTACCAGGTCTTCACATGGTCTGGATGCTGTTACTGACAATTGCAAGTTTTCAAGAAGGAAATGATATAGGAAAAATCTTGAAAGGCATAATGGATTGGTAGAGCATAAACGCAATATGAATAAATTCAATGAAGCAAATCAATGTGATCTTTACTGGCCAGCTGATTCTGAAAGCAAAGCTTTATATGGCCTTAAATTACATTTAATTCAAATTAACTTACCTTAGGAGTTTCAAACTAAATCACTGTACTCTGGAATTGAATATTGGAAGAAAAATCAACTTCATCATATTCCTATTAAGACCTGTCCCATCATCTGAAGAAAGTCATATCCCTTTATGTCACTCTTCAACTATTTTATACATATGTATTTGAAATTCAACTCTGATTTATCTTCACGCTATTTCATTTTGCCTGAAATTAGGCAGCTTATCTCCCTTTCCCTTTTTCATGTTTCTTATTTGTATTTTTTTCCTTCTGGATTCAAACCCTTGGCTTTATTTCTTCCTTTGATAAGTGGACCTATTCATTAAATTATCCAAAACAATCCTTTTACCTAGTGCGATAGAATCAGTCCAAATTATACTGTGTCTTTTCAATTACCTTTGCTTCAAATGGTCCTTGGGCAACAAATTCAAAGAGCAGCGTGATCTAGAATCTCTATGCCCATCTCGTATTTAAGCGATATTACTAATGTCTTTGTGCTCATGGGTAATATGAGTCACAGAATTTGAAGCAAAATTGAATAATTGGTTTTAGACTAGGAACACCAACTTCTAAAGTATTTCAGTTACACAGAGATAGGCTTAAAGACCGATTACTGAGAAATAACTTCATCTCCTTGGTTGGGATTAATGTCTTTACCGCAAACAACTCACAATTAAAAATTATGACCACTAAGAATATTAAAGTACTTTTACAATATATCATCCAGCGCAGCTATACATGTGGAAGCCTTAACTAATAGAAAAATTTAAGGTTCTAAAACTTTCTATTATTAAATAATATTTTTATTTCAAAATGAAATTTATTTTCAAATAAAACATTTTTAGTGAATAGGTAGTGTCCTCAGCATTAAAATCACTTTTCACTATTCCAAAACACTTAAAGTATTTAAAACATTAAACATAGTAATTTAGGTCTAATTAATGCCTCCAAATTTAATTTCACTATTCCGAACAAATGTACAATTAGAAACGTGGTTTCGAATTAGTTGAGGACCTCCCATGACATTTCTTTGCAGGTACACGTAAAAACATTCTGAATTTTGGAATAATTCCTAAAATTATTTCTGTAGTTGGAAGAAATTATAAATAATGCTTAATTAGATTTTAATTAATCAAATTGAACTTAATTATTTGGACATGATCTGGTGTGATGTGGTCTGGTTAAGAACAAGTGACTCACTGAGCTAAGAAAAGACAATACAGTATGAAAGATAAAATACAATTTTGAAATTAATCAGAGATTATTCTGATAAAAAACAAACTCTTCCATAAGTGTCCTTCAGATAAAATTCCTGGGGGCATATTCTTTAAGTGACTATCACAGATAAGCCTCTCAACAACAACAAAGTTTTGATTAGTTGAAAGAAAATAAAGACAATTGCACTGATATATTCCATTTCAGATAGGAAAATATGTGGGGACTTCCCTGGCAGTCCAGTGGTTTAGGACTCTGCACTTCTGCTGCAGGGGGCAAGGGTTCAATCCCTGGTTGGGGAACTAAGATCCCACATGCAGTGTGGTGGTGTTGCCAAAAAAAAAAAAAAAAAAGTGACCAAAGAAAGACACAAATTTTCTCTTATGACACTGTCTTGCTATCAAGTTATTCTAGTACTATTCACCTCTGACTACCTTGGACATCAAGACACTTCAGGGCTCTCCACTGTCTGTTATCTTTACATTCCCTTTATTTTGAGGACATGAAATGTGTAGAGATTTTGCTGGGCCTCCCTTTCCCCAGACACACATGCACGTCTGCACAAAAGCTAAAATTAGTTGCATCAAGCAGTGCACAATCACCCATATTTTAAATTGAATTTGGTGAAAAGCACTTGAATTCTTTTTTTTTTCTATTTAAACTTAAATTATGACAAAAACCATTCATGAGCAGCTACCATTTAACAACTGAATATTTGTTTCCCATAAAAAACAGCTCCCCAACCACTCATACTTTTTTTTTAAGCAGTAGGGTCTAGAAAGCATGGTTATAGTTTGATATGAAGTATGAGCCCTGGGTTGGTCTTTCACATATAATTGTTCAAGTAAATGACTGGAAATAAACTTGAGTAAACATTTGGATTTTTATTAGGATATTAAGATACTGAAAATAACACACATCAACAACAAAGAGGCTTATTTCACTTTTTTGAAGTGCACATGGTATTATGGACAAAATGAATTATTATTTTTTTCGAGTTTTATAATCTTTAAGTATCTCATAAATGGATGCAGAGAGTGATGAGTTAAACTCCTGTTCACAAACAGTATACAATATTTTGTGTATATTGACTTTACTTAATTTTAAAGTTTTATTTCCAAAGTTAATGTTAAATGCCTGGTGCATATACTGTTATCAAGCAGTTACTCTCATTGTCGTCTCAGACATGCAAGCATTTTGCTAAATATAAATCTACAAGTATCACACTGCATATACTTCAGAAGTGGTCAGAACAAAGGAGGAGGCTGGGTAGTTTGAGTTCTTTCAAATCTTAATTCAAAACAGGAGATTTTCATCTATGTCTTCTGTAAAAAACAAAAACAAAACATACTTTTAGAAAGTAGCTAGAGCAGTAATATAAACAATGTTAGACTAGGGGATCAGAGAACCCATCAATAAGGCGGTAGATGGTGGTTCTCAATCCTAGTAGGGCGTCAACATCACCTGTGAAGCTTTAAGAACTATATATCCTTGGGCCTCACTCCTGCCCCACCCCGAATCAGCATCCCCATGGGTGGGCCAATGGCATGTATACATTTAGAAAGCTCTGCAGGTAGTTCTGATGTAGGGTTGAGAACCACTGATAGAGGAGGTTGAGGGGAAACCAGGCAAGTGCCAAGTACACTAATCTGTAAGGGTTGTTAAAATATAACCAAAATAAATAGAAGTATAGTGCCAGTTATATCAAATTTCCAATCAAGTAATTGTAAAAGAACTTGTTGCCACACTAGTGGAAGAAGACAGCATCCTCTGGGGGATATAAGACCATTCCTTAGCATTGTGGCCCACCCTTACTCAATAATTCTTGAACAGATACCTAAAGCAGATTAATCTGAAGCATACTACCCCGTCTGGGACACCAAGTAGTTTTCCTGCCCAATGTAAGTTTTCCTCTTGCCCCAAGAGAGGGAAAGATTACAGACTTTTGCTGTATTTCTTGTGAGCACTGGCTTCACTTGTAAAGTAGGGATAATAGTCTTCTTGCTTATAAATTTACTCATATTTGCACTCATACTTTTTTTTTATATTAAATTAAATTAAATTGATTTATTTTTATACGGCAGGTTCTTATTAGTTAATCTACTTTATACATATTAGTGTATATTTGTCAATCCCAATCTTCCAATTCATCCCACCACCACCACCTCCTCCTCCTCCCCCCAGCCCCGCCACCACTTTCCCCCCTTGGTGTCCGTACATTTCTTCTCTACATCTGTGTCTCTATTTCTGCCCTGCAAACCGGTTCATCTGTACCATTTTTCTAGATTCCACATATATGCATTAATATACAATATTTGTGTTTCTCTTTCTGACTTACTTCACTCTGTATGACAGTCTCTAGATCCATCCACATCTCTACAAATGACCCAATTTCGTTCCTTTTTATGGCTGGGTAATATTCCATTGTATACATGTACCACATGTTTATCCATTCATCTGTCGATGGGTATTCAGGTTGCTTCCATGTCCTGGCTATTGTAAATAGTGCTGCAATGAACATTGGGGTGCATGTGTCTGTTTGAATTATGGTTTTCCCTGGGTATATGCCCAGTAGTGGGATTGCTGGGTCACATGGTAATTCTATTTTTAGTTTTTTAAGGGAACTCCATACTGTTCTCCATAGTGGCTGTATCAATTTACGTTCCCACCAACAGTGCAAGAGGATTCCCTTTTCTCCACACCCTCTCCAGCATTTGTTGTTTGTAGATTTTCTGATGACACCCATGCTAACCAGCGTGAGGTGATACCTCATTGTAGTTTTGATTTGCATTTCTCTAATAATTAGTGATGTTAAGCAGCTTTTCATGTGCCTCTTGGCCATCTATATGTCTTCTTTGGAGAAATGTCTATTTAGGTCTTCTGCCCATTTTTTGATTCGTTTGTTTATTTTTTTGATATGAGCTGCATGAGCTCAATATCCACTTCTTTCCATTACTCTAGGAGGTGGGTCAAAAAAGATCTTGCTGTGATATATGTCAAAGAGTGTTCTTCCTGTGTTTTCCTCTAAGAGTTTCATAGTGTCCAGTCTTACATTTAGGTCTTTAATCAATTTCGAGTTTATTTTTGTGTATGGTGTTAGGGAATGTTCTACTTTCATTCTTTTACATGTGGCTGTCCAGTTTTGCCAGCACCACTTATTGAAGAGACTGTCTTTTCTCCATTGTATATCCTTGCCTCCTTTGTCATAGATTAGTTGACCATAGGTGCATGGGTTTATCTCTGGGCTTTCTATCCTGTTCCATTGATCTATATCTCTGTTTTTGGGCCAGTAACATATTGTCTTGATTACTGTAGCTTTGTAGTATAGTCTGAAGTCAGCGAGTCTGATTCCTCCAGCTCCGTTTTTTTCCCCTCAAGATTGCTTTTGTGTCTCCATACAAATTAAAAAATTTTTTGTTCTAGTTCTGTAAAAAACGCCATTGGTAATTTGATAGGGATTTCATTCAATCTGTAGAATGCTTTGGGTAGAATAGTCATTTTCACAATATTGATCCTTCCAGTCCAAGAACGTGCTATATCTCTCCATCTGTTTGTGTCATCTTTGATTTCTTTCATCAGTGTCTTATAGTTTTCGGAGTACAGGTATTTTACCTCTTTAGGTAGGTTTATTCCTAGGTATTTTGTTCTTTTTGTTGCAATGGTGACTGGGATTGTTTCCTTAATTTCTCTTTCTGATCTTTTATTGGTAGTGTATAAGAATGCAATGAAGAACCTTACCAAATTCATCGATCAGCTCTAGTAGTTTTCTGGTGGCATCTTTAGGATTTTCTATGGATAGTATCACGTCATCTGCAAACAATGACAGTTTTACATCTTCTTTTCCAATTTGGATTCCTTTTATTTCTTTTTCTTCTCTGATTGCCATGGCTAGGACATCCAAAACTATGTTGAATAACAGTGGCGAGAGTGAACATCCTTGTCTTGTTCCTGATCTTAGAGGAAATGCTTTCAGTTTTTCACCATTGAGAATGACGTTTGCTGTGGGTTTGTCATATATGGCTTTTATTATGTTGAGGTAGGTTCCCTCAATGCCCACTTTCTGGAGAGTTCTTATCATAAATGGGTGTTGAATTTTGTCAACAGTTTTTTTTCTGCATCTATTGAGATGATCATATGGTTTTTATTCTTCAATTGGTTAATATGGTTTTTCACATTGATTGATTTGTGTACATTGAAGAATCCTTGCATCCCTGGGATAAATCCTCCTTGATCATGGTGTATGAATCTTTTAATGTGCTGTGGATTCCGTTTGCTAGTATTTTGTTGAGGATTTTTGCATCTATATTCATCAGTGATATTGGTTTGTAATTTTCTTTTTTTGTAGTATCTTTGTCTGGTTTTAATATCAGGATGATGGTGGCCTTGTACAACGAGTTTGGGAGCATTCCTTCCTCTGCAGTTGTTTGGAAGAGTTTGAGAAGGATGTGTGTTAGCTCTTCTCTAAATGTTTGATAGAATTCACCTGTGAAGTCATCTGGTCTTGGACTTTTGTTTGTTGGAAGATTTTTAATCACAGTTTCAATTTCATTACTTGTGATTGGTCTGTTCATGTTTTCTATTTCTTCCTGGTTCAGTATTGGAAGGTTATACCTTTCTAAGAATTTGTCCATTTCTTCCAGATTATCCATTTTAGTAGCATAGAGTTGCCTGTAGTAGTCTGTTATGATGCTTTGTATTTCTGCAGTGTCCGTTGTAACTTCTCCTTTTTCATTTCTAATTTCATTGATTTGAGTCCTCTCTCTCTTTTTCTTGATAAGTCTGGCTAAAGGTTTATCAATTTTGTTTATCTTCTCAAAGAATCATCTTTTAGTTTTATTGATCTTTGCTATTGTTTTCTTTGTTTCTATTTCATTTATTTCTGCTCTAATCCTTATGATTTCTTTCCTTCTACTAACTTGTTTTTTCTTGTTTTGTTCTTCTTTCTCTAATTGCTTTAGGTGTAAGGTTAGATTGTTTATTTGAGATTTTTCTTGTTTCTTGAGGTAGGTTTGTATTGCTATAAACTTCCCTCTTAGAACTGTGTTTGCTGCATCCCAAAAGTTTTGGATCATCGTGTTTTTGTTGTCATTCGTCTCTAGGTATTTTTTGATTTCCTCTTTGATTTCTTCAGTTATCTCTTGGTTATTTAGTAATGTATTGTTTAACCTCCATGTGTTTGTGTTTTTTACGTTTTTTTCCCTGTAATTGATTTCTAATCTCATAGTGTTGTGGTCAGAAAAGATGCTTGATATGATTTCAATTTTCTTAAATTTACTGAGACTTGATTTGTAACCCAAGATGTGACCTATCCTGGAGAATGTTCCACGTACACTTGAGAAGAAAGTGTTATCTGCTGTTTTCGGATGGAATCTCCTATAAATATCAATTAAATCTATCTGGTCTATTGTGTCATTTAAAGCTTCTGTTTCCTTATTTATTTTTGTTTTGGATGATCTGTCCATTGGTGAACGTGGGGTGTTAAAGTCCCCTACTACTCTTGTGCTACTGTCGATTTCCCCTTTTATGGCTGTTAGCATTTGCCTTATGTATTGAGGTGCTCCTATCTTGCATGCATAAATATTTACAGTTGTTTTATCTTCTTCTTGGATTGACCCCTTGATCATTACATAGTGCCCTTCTTTGTCTCTTGTAATAGTCTTTATTTTAAAGTTTAATTTTTCTGAAATGAGAATTGCTACTCCAGCTTTCTTTTGATTTCCATTTGCATGGAATATCTTTTTCCATCCCCTCACTTTCTGTCTGTACTTGTCCCTAGGTGTGAAGTGGGTCTCTTGTAGACAGCATATATATGGGTCTTGCTTTCGTATCCATCAGCCAGTCTATGTCTTTTTTTTGGAGCATTTAATCCATTTACATTTAAGCTAATTATTGATATGTATGTTCCTATTACCATTTTCTTAATTGTTTTGGCTTTGCTATTGTAGGTCTTTTCCTTCTCTTGTGTTTCCTGCCTAGAGAAGTTCCTTTAGCATTTGTTGTAGAGCTGGTCTGGTGGTGCTGAATTCTCTTAGCTTTTGGTTGTCTGTAAAGTTTTGATTTTTCCATCGAATCTGAATGAGATCCTTGCCGGCTAGAGTAATCTTGGTTGTAGGTTTTTCCCTTTCATCACTGTGAATATATCGTGCCACTCCCTTCTGGCTTGTAGAGTTTCTGCTGAGAAATCAGTTATTAACCTTATGTACATTCTCTTGTATGTTGTTTGTCATTTTTCCCTTGTTGCTTTTAATAATTTTTCTTTGTCTTTAATTTTTGTCAGTTCGATTGCTATGTGTCTTGGCATGTTTCTCCTTGAATTTATCCTGTATGGGACTCTCTGCACTTCCTGGACTTGGGTGGCTATTTCCTTTCCCATGTTAGGGAAGTTTTCAACTATAATCTCTTCAAATATTTTCTCGGGTCCCCCGTCTCTCTCTCTCTCTCTCTTGTCTCCTTCTGGGACCCCTATAATGCAAATGTTGGTGTGTTTAATGTTGTCCCAGAGGTCTCTTAGGCTGTCTTCATTTCTTTCTGTTCTTTTTTCTTTATTCTGTTCCATTGCAGTGAATTCCACCATTCTGTCTTCCAGGTCACTTATCCATTGTTCTGCCTCAGTTATTCTGCTATTGATTCCTTCTAGTGTATTTTTCATTTCAGTTATTATATTGTTCATCTCCGTTGGTTTGTTCTTTAATTTTTCTAGGTGTCTATTCTTTAATTCTTCTAGGTCTTTGTTAAACATTTCTTTCATCTTCTTGATCTTTGCCTCCATTCTTTTTCCGAGGTCCTGGATCATCTTTACTATCATTATTCTGAATTCTTTTTCTGGAAGGTTGCCTATCTCCAGTTCATTTAGTTGTTTTTCTGGGGTTTTATCTTGTTTATTCATCTGGTACATAGCCCTCTGCCTTTTCACCTTGTCTATCTTTCTGTGAATGTGGTATTCATTCCACAGGCTGCAGGATTGTAGTTCTTGCTTCTGCTGTCTACCCTCTGGTGGATGAGGCTACCTAAGAGGCTTGTGCAGGCTTCCTGATGGGAGGGACTGGTGGTAGGTAGAGCTGGGTGTTGCTCTGGTGGGCAGAGCTCAGAAAAACTTTAATCCGCTTGTCTGCTGATGGGTGGGGATGAGTTCCCTCCTTGTTGGTTGTTTGGCCTGAGGTGACCCTGCACTGGAGGCTACAGGCCCTTTGGTGGGGCTAATAGCAGACTCTGGGAGGGCTCACACCTAGGAGTACTTCCCAGAACTTCTGCTGCCAGTGTCCTTGTCCCTGTGGTGAGCCACCGCTGCCCCCCGCCTCTGCAGAAGACCCTCCAACACTAGCAGGTAGGTCTGGTTCAGTCTCCTCTGGGGTCACTGCTCCTTCCGCTGGGTCCCAATGTGCACACTACTTTGTGTGTGCCCTCCAAGAGTGGAGTCTCTGTTTCCCCCACACCTGTTGAAGTCCTGCAATCAAATCCCACTAGCCTTCAAAGTCTGATTCTCTGGGAATTCCTCCTCCTGTCGCTGGACCCCCAGGTTGGGAAGCCTGACATGGGGCTCAGCACCTTCACTGCAGTGGGTGGACTTCTGTGGTATAATTGTTCTCCCGTTTGAGTCACCCACCCAGCAGTTATGGGATTTGATTTTATCATGATTGTGCCCCTGCTGCTGTCTCATTGCAGCTTCTCCTTTGTCTGTGGATGTGGTGTATATTTTTTGGTGGGTTCCAGTGCCTTCCTGTCGATGATTGTTCAGCAGTTAGTTGTGATTCCAGTGCTCTTGCATGAGCGAGTGAGGGCACGTCCTTCTACTCCGCCATCTTGCTGTCTTCTTTCTGTTCAGATGAGAGATGTCCCTCCTGTTGACTTGGAGGCTAATCCTCTGCCTGTGCTCAGGATCTCTTCTGATCTCAGAATTCTCCCCTATTTTCCTCTTTTTTTCTTATATCCTCAATCTTTCCTTTTTTTTTTTTTAACGGGCCCTTCCTATTAATGTTTAAATATGCTGCATATCCAGCCTTGAGAACAGTGCCTGGTACTATGTAGACCACCAGTAAAGACTTGTTGAAGGAATGAATGCATGAATAAATGATAAGAGCTCAAGCCTCTTATATTCTCAAAAATGCTTCCCTCAACTCTATATCCCTCTCTAGCTCATTCCTGCTTTCAAACCTTCACTCTTTAGCCTTTCTTATCTCCTCTTCTTTCTTATGTGTCTTGCTTCCATCTCTACTTTTCCACAAAAACTGCTCTTCCAAGGCCATCCAGGGTATCCTTATTTCTACGTCCAATGAATATTCTCAGTCTTTTACCTTACTTGACATCTCAGCAGCATTTAGCACTGTGATCTCTTCCTCCTCTTTGAAACACCTCCTTAGATATGGCACTATCCTCTTTTTTTTTTTTTTTCCTGCGTTACGCGGGCCTCTCACTGTTGTGGCCTCTCCCGTTGCCGGAGCACAGGCTCCGGATGCGCAGGCTCAGCGGCCATGGCTCACGGGCCCAGCCGCTCTGCGGCATGTGGGATCTTCCCGGACCAGGGCACGAACGCGCGTCCCCTGCATCGGCAGGCGGACTCTCAACCACTGCGCCACCAGGGAAGCCCACTATCCTCTTTCCTTTTTTCTTTCAGGAGACTTTTCATTCTGCTTCATGTACTCCTTCTTCCTCCTGTATCCATCATCTAGATGTTGTTCCTTGGTATTCAACCCAAAACCCTTTTCCATGTAACTCAGCACATTTTCCTAAGAAAATTAATTTCCTTCCCTGGTATCAATTATTTTCTGTATGCTCACAATCCCCACATATGTATTTCAATTCCTAAATTCTGTCTTGAAAAGCAGGCCCATATATTCAACTATCTTTTTTTTTCATTTTTATTTTCTTGGCAGTGCTGCACAGGCTGTGGGCTCTTAGCTCCCTGACCAGGGATCAAACCCCCGCCACTTGCATTGCAAGTGCAGAATCTTAACCACTGGACCCCCAGGGAAGTCCCTCAACTATCAGCTGTACCTTGTCACCCAGCGACTTCAAAATTTAATGTGTCCCAGATGGAATTTATCTTTTCCCCCCAAACCTGCTTCTGTTCTTGTGTTTTCTGTCTCAGTGGAAGGTACCTCTCCTCACCCTGCCTGGCCTGTGCCAGGAACCTAGGCATTGTACTTCTCTTCCTCTCAACCTAACTGCCTGCTTCCTGCCTCCACGTATTTCCTATGAAACACTGTCTTATTATTTCTGCATACTGTACATCTTGAATATGTTTATATTCTCAACTATATCTTGAATATATTGATATTTTAAAATATATTGGAATATGTTTACTTTTCTTTTTCCCTACTATAACTGCCCTAATTCAGGTTCTCATCAACTTTTGCCTGGGTTCACCACAACAGTTCTCCGGCTTATCCACAGTGTAACCAAAAGAATCTTTCTTAAGTACAAATCCAGTGAAATCACTCCCTTGTTAAAAACCCTTTTGGCATCCTCCAGTACTCTGAGGATAATGTCTTTAACTGGCTTAGTAGGACCTGCATGATGTGACTTATTTCCTCTGTTCGTCTAGCTAGAAAGGTTTTCCTAAAGATTAATGTGGATATATGTTAATCCACAGTATGTCATAGGCACTAAATAAATAAGACTCCTTCACCTCGTAATTGAATCCCATTTTTACACACAAGGAGAATGAGACTTGCTGAGGATGAGTGGCATGCCCTAATTTTCATAGCTAGTTAATAACAGAGCTGGAATATTTGAGCACATCTAGTTCAGAGCAAAGGAGGTTAAAATTCAGGACAACACTGGCTACAATTTATCTTGTCCTGTGGATTTCTCCGTCCTGAGGGAATACATTTGTATGCTTACAGATAGACATTTTTTTTCTCTCCCTAGCTGAATCCCAAAGCAGTAACTTGTTTCCATGTCCTGACTGAATATTTAATATCTGCTTTGCTGGCTTATTGTGTGATAATTGTTTCCCTTCTTCAAAATGTAATCATGGCCAAACCACAGTGAACAAACAAGAATGTTAGGAGCTTTGCGAGTCACAGAATTTAAGCCCTTCCTGCTTCTCCCAGACAACCCCCCAGCACAGGGCCTGAGTAGGCTCATATGCTGAAGAGCTGCCAGAAATTTTGAAAGGAACAGTGAAGTGCAACTGGTTTCCTTAAATGGCCTCTCTTTAAATTTGCCTTTGGATCACTCCTTTAAAATCACGTGCCATATAAAAGGGCATACATAAATATGTCCTGTCCCAGCTAAGTTTTTTTCTTGATAATGGTGGAGGGGAGGGGTCGGGGCAGCTGTCCTTGGGTACATTTTATCTTTTCAACATGGGAATTGGAAAAAACATTGTTAGCCATTTTTAGGGATGTATATGAATTTGTAAGTACTGTGCTTATAGAATAGGTGTTAGAAAGGAAATTGGCATTATTTGCATGAGACTGGGTCTTAATTGCCTGTTAATTTCCTATTGATGTTAATAGGATGTAAACAGTATGGGGTCCGACAGTCTCCACTCTGGCCCCCAATGATCCCCATCTCCTGTGGTCTCCCCCCACATTGTAGCAGGGTTAGACTGTGTGACAAACAGAATATGGCAGAAATATGTCACTTCTGAGATTAGTCCTACAGGGAACTGCGGCTTTTGTCTTGGACTCTCTCTTTCTATCTCTGTCTCTGATCACTTGCTCTGGAGGAAACCAGACACCATGTTATGAGAAGCACCGTGCAAAGGACCACATGGTTAGGAACTGAAGCCTCCTACCAATAGCCATGTAAGTGAGCTTAGAGCAGATCCTAAGGCAGATCCATCCAGGTGAGGTCCTCCCGGATTCCTAATCCTCAGAAACGTTGAGAGAGATTTTAAGCTTCTAATCTTTAAGGTAATTTCTTGTGCAGAAATGGACAACTAATACACAGAACTAGGTGCTTACAAAAAGATTCATTCTTTGCTCATTGCAGTTGTACTTATTTCACAGAATAACACTGTAGAGGAAAAGGACCTTTTCTGCTTATCTATTTATCAGTAAATAACTAAATCCTCATATTCCAACTCTTTCTTTCCAATTTCAAGCCATCATACATATGCATAAAGAATATTTTTAGAGTGAAGTTCACACAAGTTACCTCTTTTGGGGAAACTCTGACCTTTGATGAACTTACGTTTCTTTATTTCTTGGCTGCATAGTCATCCTACGTATACGTATGTCGTGAACACATGGGTAAAACCTCTGCTTTAGAGATTTGATGTTCATTGTTGATTTACATTCTGTGAGCAGTTTTGATTGCTCATTGTTTGAACACCTTTCATATCTCGATTATTAAAAAACAGCCTTGCTCATAAAAATCAACTGTAACTTAGGAAAAGAAAAGGAAGTACATTAAGACATAAGCTAGCAAAACAAATGTCTGAATTTAAATTCCTCCGCTGCAGGGGAATTCCTTTTGGATTAAAGGAATAACACCTGGGCACAACTGGTGACAATCTTTAGTGTGTTGGTACTCAATTCTAAGATTCTTCTGGCATCTCCCATTTTCAGGATCAAGCTTGCTGTTTTACTCTTCACATACGATTTTTTAAAGTTTGGCCCAATACTCAGGTTAAGGAAGGATATAAAGTCCTTCCTTCCTTCCGTAGAAAGGTAGCCTTCGGAGATTTGGTGCAGCTCTCCGGATTCACATCACTTTCTTAGGCTTAGCCAATTTCTGAGACCTCAGTGCAGTTACCCCTTAAATATTTACCCTTGCTACACTTTGAAACAGAGATCATAAAGGGAGTAAGAAATAACCTTGCAGTCTGCCACCTTGTGGTCTCTAGGTTTCAATTTGAACACACAGCAGGACCTGTCTATGAGGGCTGCAGGCTTAGGGCTTATCTGGAGAAGAGGACACCCCCCTCCCTGGGCTGATGATGAATTTACCTTCTTTAATTTCAAAGCAGTGACCCCACTCCTCCAGGGTGATGTGCTTATCCTTGTTGGGGTCACACTCTTCAAAGAAGCGCGTTATGCAGTGTTCCAGGGGCACCAGAGATGCCCGCAAAGGAGCGAGCTCAGAGTGGGTCAAGACCCTGCAATGAGATAAATGGCAGCCAATTAACTGGGTTACTAACTTGTGTATGAAGAGCTAACTCTTACGACCACCAAGGGCATTTTTCTTCCCCAAGGCTGCTGAGGACGGCAAATAAGGAGTGCGTTCATGAAGAGCTACAAATGAAATAAACGATTTGTGGGTAAGACAGACAGCTTTTGGGATGTCAATTCATAAGGTTTCCTTCTTCCCTAGGAACTCTCGTCCCTCCACCCTAAATTTATAGGGCTGCATCCCAACAATCATGTTTATACAACCTGGCTCTTACCACTGGCAGTACTGGATCATTCCAGACGTAGGTGCTTAATCCAACTGGGGCCAATCAGATTAGCTTCAGAATTTAGGATCAAGAATGAGGAAGAGTGGAAAGAGCCTCTCGGGAGGCTGGACCCTAACATGGAAACTTGGGAGCTTGTGGAATTGTGGCCATATTCTGTTATGGTCAAAGCAGCACTTTTCTTTTTTTCTTAAATTTTTTGGATGTGGACCATTTTTAAAGTCTTTATTGAATTTGTTACAATATTGCTTCTGTTGTGTGTTTTGGTTTTTTGGCCGCGAGGCATGTGGAATCTTAGCTCCCTGCCCAGGGATCAAACCCACACCCCCTGCATTGGAAGGCGAAATCTTAAGCACTGGACGGCCAGGGAAGTCCCTCAAAGCAGCTTTGTGTTTAGACTCATAACCGTATTTGCTTGACATTTCTGTGTTCTAAAATGGAACTCGGAAGTTTCGTAAATCTGTTTAGAATTCTTGGGTACAGATAACTAGACATTGCATCAGGGAGATGACCTAGTTAACGGGAAGGTGGAAATTGTTTACCTGTCCCTAGGATGTTGATCCAGCTCACTGAACTGCCAGTGTACCGGATACACATACATGTGGTAGTTTTTCTTAAAGTCTCTTAAGAGAAGGTCAAGTGAGTGGTCCCCAGCCAGGAGTCTCTTTTCATCCAGGTAAATTTTCTTGACCTGAGATTAGGAAGGGAGATGATCATTAGAGAATCAGACAAGTGTAATGGAATTATCACTTGCTAAACTTTACTTGAAGAGTATTCCTCACATGACAGAGGAAAACAAACCCAGAATGTTATTTGAGAACAAATTACATGCCTTCTAATCAACACTACAGCTTTCTGCATAGAATAACAGCTAACATTTAAAAAACCCTGGGGTTTTCAGAAGAAATTTAAGACTTTGTTTGATCTTTTAACCAAGTGATGTTCCTCATATTTCTTAAAACTATGAAAAGGTTTTAATGAAAAGGGCTGAACAGACCTAGACAAAATTGTTCATTTGTTGGTGAAAAGTTCTGTTCTTCCCCACTGGCATACTCCATTCTTTTTTTTTTTTAAGATTTATTATTAATTAATTAAACTTATTTTTGGCTGCATCAGGTCTTAGTTGAGGCACGTGGGCTCTTCGTTGTGGTACGCAGGCTTCTCTCTAGCTGTGGCGTGGGCTCTGTAGCTGTGGCGTGCCAGTTCCAGGGTGCATGGGCTCTGTAGTTTGCGGCACTCGGGCTCTAGTTGAGGCGTGTGAGCTCAGTAGTTGTGGCGCGCGGGCTTAGTTGCACCGTGGCATGTGGGATCTTAGTTCCCTGACCAGGGATCAAACCTGCGTCCCCTGCATTGGAAGACGGATTCGATTCTTTACCCCTGGACCACCGGGGAAGTCCTGGCATACTCCATTCTTAATCTTTTATGTATTTCCATCCAGTGCCTGCTGCGGCTCAGGTCAGCCCTGGCGTGATGCTGCTTGACACCCCTATTGAAATTTCCCTGTTTTGTATCTAATGCTCTCAAGGCTGTCTGTGGCAATGTGTTGTTAAAGAGAGAGGATAGAAATTATTTAGGGGCAATGCATATAAAACTACCAGCTTGTGACGTTACCAATTAGTGCACTGAGTAACTGAAAGCAATCAGAACAGAACTTCTACTTGTTCTCATGAACACATCTACCAATTTCCCTCCTTGTCACCATGCGTGAAATTCCTTCGCTCCTCATCTACTAAGCCCAGCCGCTCACTGGTGCTCAGAAGCTCACCCCTTCTCATCTACTCAAGAATACCCTGTGGCAGTTGGGCACCCTTCCTTCTTTACTGGATTATTTCCAGAGGCATACAAATATCCTCTGTCACCTCCCGCTGGTAGATAGGACCCTTGAACTCACATTCCTGTCCACCTGCCACCCATTTCACTTTTCCCCTTTACAGCAAAGTGTCTTCTATACTTGCTGCTTTTACATCATTCCTCCTATTCTCTTTCTAACCCTATCCATTCAGGCTTTTCTCTTGCAAAAACAACTCCTGTCATGGTCAACTATGACTGTCATGTGCCAAATCAGGGGCCAACTCTCAGTCCCCATCTTAACAACCTGTAAACAGCATTTGACACAGTTAATGCACACCCTCCTACACGTTTTATTTTTTTCTTTATAGCATGTTTCATGCCACCTGACATAACATATTTGCATAAATGTTTATTTGCATGTATTTATACATTTGCATGTATGTTCATATTTGCATACATGTATATATAAGTATATATCATCTCTTTGCCTAGAATGTAGGCTCATGAAGGCAGAGATTTTTGTTTGGTCCCTTGCTGTATTTCCAGCATGTAAATCAATTCCAGGTACCTGGTATACACTCAATAACTATCTGATGAATGAATTTTCCCTGGGAACTTCTAGGATTAATATTCTGTACTTTTTAATCTTAATATATTACTGACATTGTTAATAATGGATTTCCCTTATATCATAAATCTATGTCTGGCCTATAAAGGCAAAAAACATGTTTAGATTTAAATAATATGCCTGGGCCTGAACATATGAATGCTGAACTGAGGTTCATTTTGGTCAACAGAGTTTGATCTAGGAATGAGTTCAAGAGCTCTTACTCAGGCCCCTGCCCTGCCTGTACAAATCGGGTGGTTTGGCTGTGTCCCAAGCTTTGAGGCGTGAATAATGACCACTACTATTCTGTTAATCCATGGGTGTTAACTAGGTGTGGTTTCTGATACGCAGAGGAAGGGCTGATATACCCCTCCCCCTCCACCCCGCCCCGTCCCCTGACGCTTTTTTCCTCAAGCTCTGTAGACAGACGCTTAGGTAGCTGGCCGTGGATAACTTACTTTATTTCTCTGCTTCTCATTTAGATATCCAGCGTGCTCAGGGTTAGGTTCATAAAGCTGCATGAGGATATTCTTGAGCCAGTCTCTCATCCTTAGAGGAAACTGGTTCACTTCAAAGTCCGTACAAGCAGGAATAGCTGTTCCAGGCAGAAAGTAAATTGATTTTAATTTGGGGGTCTTACTCCGGTCCCAAGGAAAGTCCTCATAACAGGATGCTTGACAACTTCCGGTGACTGACAGCATCCTCACTGCCCCTCCATCACAACAGTGGTCCTTAACCCTGGCACCATAGCAGAATTGCCAGGAGTGTTTTAAAAACATACCAGATGCCAGCTTCCTTTCAAAGAAATCCTGATTTGATTGATCTGGGTGGAGCCTGGGCATCAGGATGTTTTAAAAAGCTCCAGAAGCAATTGTGATGTGCAGCCAGGGCTGAGAACCACTACTCTAGAATCAGAGAGTTGGAATTCAGAGGTGGAGGTCACAAGAGCTATTTATTAGGAGAAAAGAGCAAAAGGCAGCAGTTAGCTTATACTGTGGAAATAATGTTAAATCTCAGTGGCTTAAAGGAACAAACATATTTTTCAGGTTTATTGAAATATAACTGACATACCACACTGTAAGTTTAAGGTGTGCAGCATAATGACTTGACATCCATATATTGTGTAATGATTACCACAGTAATCATTAGTTTAGTTAAACATTTGTAACCTCATATAGTTAACTTGAGTTTTTTATTTCCTTGTGGTGAGAACTGTCAGGATCTACTCTCTTAGCAACTTTCAAATATACCATATACAGCAGTGTTGACTAGTATGTCGTACATCACATCAAACGTTTATCTCTCCATCCTGCTGCATGTCCCCTGTAAGTTGGCAGGAGAGCTCTGCTCCTCTGTCTCACTGGGGCTCAGGATGGGGGAGACACCGCCATTCAGCATCATCTCAACACGAGGTGAAGACGGCATGGAGAGCCATACACAGCTCTTAAATGCTCTGTCCAGAGCTCCCATGGATGACTTTTGCTCGCATTTCACTGGACAAAGCAACTCATATGGCTGCATCTAACATCAAGGGGGCTGAGAAACGGAATCCTCTCATGTGTCTGGAAAGACAGGAGAGGTTAGTGAGCACTGCTAATGTGGAGAATCACTTAGCGACCAGGAGATCCAAACACAATTGAGAGTATCCTGGGGAAGGAAGACAATTTCAAAAACTTCTGGAGGACTATGCTGTCACTAAAACTTCTTGGCAAAAGCTTCGCTTTTGGAAGAGGACGACTAATTTAACAAAATTCCAATGATTCATCTCAGTTATTAAGCGGATAACATTATCATAGTGGTTCTGAACGCTGACTGCACATTAGAATTGTCTTGGTTACTTTGAAAACAAGTGAAAAACCAATGCCAAGGTTCCAACCCAGTCCAATTAAATCAGAATCTCTTACAGTTAAAACCTGGACATTATTCTTCTAATTTTTAAAAAAGTCTTCCCAGTTATTTTAATGTGCAGCCTGGATTCAGAACTACATTAACTTTTTGCTATTGTCGTCTGCATATATATGAGTACCTATATATATGTATATAATTCAGATTCATCCAAAACACTTTCAGCAGTGGTGGTTAGACTCTTACATTTGCAGGCTCCAAAGTAATCCAGCTGCAGTTGGTGCCCCTTTTTGGTCCCCTCCAATCTGCACTTAGTAGCAAAGAGATGGCAGGAGCTGGCGTAGGTCTGATTGTCAGTGCCGCAAACCTAAGAAAGACAAGTAGGAGAAAAACCTCAGGCTTGGGAATGTTCATTGGGAAAACATTCTGTTCCTTAAAGTCTAATGAACTGCTGTTTCTATTGACTGTTGTTTAAATATTAGATGATAACCTGGGCATTCACTTTTTCCTTTAACAAAAGATTTCAACTGCAAATTACTTTCATTCAAATCACTAACTGTTTGATGTCCCTTAAAGACCATTTTGTAGAAGCCTTACTTGGTCAAGGAGTTTTGTAGGAGGACAAGTCACTGGATCTTGGCAAGCACAGTGGGGTTTTCCCTGTTGATCAGCCTTGCAGACGTGTCCTCTTTTACACTGGAAGCTCATGCAAGAATCTAACAGAAAAGTTTAGACAGGAAACATGGACAAAGCTAAAGTGAGTACGTAAACTCAAATTCATCCAGACAGTTCCATTTCCATGAATAAGAGAAGATTTGGGAAAACATTAGAAGCCTTTTTAATGGATGCGTTAATTTTCAGGTGGGACCCTCTGGCTCCAGACTATTTTGCATAATAGTCTAGATTTCTTTGCAGTTTGGATTGGGGATTTAAAAAGAACAAACAACTTTTCTTGACCTGCCGGCAATGGTCATAGTCTGACGTCTACAGAGCAGTGCTGTGCAAGTTGCTCAAAAGTTAAATAAGCCGTGAGAATTTTTATGGTTGAAATTCAAAATTTTGTGATTGGGGTATGTGATTAAGAATTAGGTCTTGGGGGCTTCCCTGGTGGTGCAGTGGTTGAGAGTCCGCCTGCCGATGCAGGGGACACGGGTTCGTGCCCCGGTCCGGGAAGATCCCACATGCCACGGAGTGGCTGGGCCCGTGAGCCATGGCCGCTGAGCCTGTGCGTCCGGAGCCTGTGCTCCGCAACGGGAGAGGCCACAACAGTGAGAGGCCCGCGTACCGCAAAAAAAAAAAAAGAATTAGGTCTTTATTAAATATGAGATCTCAATTCTAAGTTGTGGATTTGAGTGTAAATAAGGTAGAATCAATTTTTCTTCTTCGAAGCAAAAGGACTTAGAGAAAAAGAATTCTAGCTTTTGCAGTAACATTGCAACCGGATTTCCAGTTTGTAAACAGTTACCACAGTTGTAGATCAAATGTGCACACGAGGATGTCAACAATTTATGGGAACATTTCCTTGGGGAGGAGTGGGGAGAGGAAAAATTCTGTGCAGTAGTCACAGATGAAGGCGTGGGGATAGCGCAACATAGCGCATTCCGTCTCTCTCCTCACATAGTCACAGACTGCTTGCTTAGCCCGTACTCACCGACACTGTGCACCCTTGTGTTGCCTTCAGTTGAACGGTCATCTTCATTCAGTGAGCTTTCTGCTTTCTTGGCCTTTATAATAACAAGAGCAGAAGTTGAAGTCTATTTTAGGGAAAGCCTTTACATAATTTATCTTTCCACTGTGCGTACCTTCACAGATCTTTTCGTACTCCAATCGTTTCAGATCTCAGAAGGAGAAGACACCAGCCGCAGCCGTGGAAATAGACAGTAACCCTCTGAGAACAGGAGCCATTTCTATCTTTATGAACTGGGTTCAGTGCTATATCTCTGGGGATTACCCAATAAACATTGGAACTAACATCAGAAGCGAAGTTGGAACCTCCCCTTTGGTTTGGGAAAACAGTAGAAATGTGGTATTACCATGTGATTCTATAGTTAAGACATGATTACATTAGTAATCTCTGTGACGCTATTGGGAAACGTTTCTTACCAGGTTTCTAAATTGTAAGAAAACTCCTGCCTTAGAATGGCAGCAGAGTTCTCAGGAATCAAAGTTAGTATTCACCTTGCCCACCAAAAGCTGTGCTAGGTGCTCCTGGTGGGTGGCTGCCAGAGTTTTGCATGAAAGCTCCAAATGATTAAACAACCAAATTGCAATGTTTCTTCCCTTCCCTCACCCTGTTGCTGTTTCCCGATTATCATTTTGGTGTGTGTTTGCTTCAAAAAGCTGTAGCTGAAGTCTTTGTTCTTTGCCTTTATAGCTAAATCAATAAACATTGCTGGATCTCTTACGTTATTATGTTAGAGGCATTTTGCTAGACATTGGTGATCAACTTGACTATGACCTGGCACCTGCTATCAAGGCATGAGAGCAGCAGTTGTCATGCCTCCCATCCCTCTTATCTATCAGAATTTACCACTCTAGTTAGTGCCAGGGACGTTCAACTGCCGGTATCTGCATCTCTGTGCCTGGAAAACCACGACACTCTATATGGCCTGCCCAAGGACAGACTGGAAGTGCTGGGGAATTCACACCTCTCCTAGTAATCCTCAGCTTATATAAAAGCCATAGGTCCCTCAGTCTCCAAAGGGGCTAATCCAGAGGAATGTGCTTTCCATGGCTTTAATTATGTACCGTTGATTAGCTTCCTTTGTTCCCTGAACTTCTCAAACAAACTGCACTAAAATCCAGGATATGCTTCTAGGGGAACCCAAATAAAACAGGCATTTTTAGACTAATGATGGAGATGTAGAGAAAAAAAATAATTATAATATATTTTAGTAATGTACTAAGAGATGAGCACAAGGGATTGCAGGAGCACAGAGAAAGGTCATGGCTATTTTTTGAAAAGCTAACTTTATCGGACAAGCATCATTGTAAACAATCTCACCCCTCGGTTTTCTACAGGTTCGCTGGTATCTACATTCTCATTCTCACGTGCTTTTCCTCTTTGCTCCTCATAGTTAATGGGATAGTAATTGGATTGAGCTCTTTCATTCTCCAGGAAAGCCTCGCTTGGGTTGAAGTACTCCTCACTCGCATTGTGCCTGGGGCCATCATCGCCGTCATCATCAATCCCATGATTTCCGGGCATGATGTTACCATCCGTAGGCTCCACCAGCAAAGGCTCAGAAAGAGTCTTTTTGTCCATCTCCTCATGGTTGCTGATAACTTCAAGGCCAGGCTGTGCTTCTCGGCTCTGCCATTCTTTATCTTGATTGGGCTTACTGATTTTTGATGCAGTTTCCTCTTCCATCTCTGCATTGGAGTTTTCCTCTTCTTGTTCTTGGCCACCCTGTTCAAATTCATCTTTCTGCATCTTGCTTACTTGAGTTGGTTGATAGGACTCTTCCAAAATACCATCAGACTGTGTACTGTCTTCTTCCTGATTGCTGGTAGAATGCTGCTCGGGAACTTCTCTCTCCCTTTCTTGGTTATCATTGTGGGTACCAATTTTACCTGGCTCTTCCTCATCTCCATTTGGGATATTTGGACCCTGCTCTTGGTTTCCTTGAACACTTAGGTCTTGGCTCTGTTTGCTGCTCCCGTTCAACTGAGGATGTGAGTCATTTATAGGTTGTTCTTGGTTTTCCTCTGTCTCTGTGATGCTTTCTTGTTGATTAGAATCTACAGTGGGACTAACATCATGACCAAGGAATCTCTCGGGGAGCTTTTCCTTTGGAGGCTCACTCATATCTTCTTTAAGGTCCAGTGTACCTTCAGTTGGTGTATACTCCAAATTCTCAATTAAGTCACTTTCACTTTTCTCTTGATCCTGTAATCCCAGGTGTTGGCTGTAACTCTGGTCCTGATCTGCTGACTGGTCATGGTTTTCCTCCTCTGACTTTAGTACTGAAGATTTTTCAGGCTAAAAAGAAAAAAGTTTATCCTTGAAACAAATGATTATGTCATATCTACATCATATTTACAATTCATAAGCCAACATTGAATATTTCTTCATTCTTTTTCTTCACATAATGTCTTACAAACTTACTTTTGATGTTCTTCACATTCGATAGCTACAAGTTTAACCTGAACTTGAATTTTTTGAAATAAAACAATTATGTAGCACTTCAGCCCAAGAAGTAAAACTCATTAATCCTCACAATTCTGTTAGAGATTGGAGGCAGTTGATGTGATCATCATCTTAAAAAAATTAAACTTAGAGTGAATCAGGTAGTCTCTTTGACCACGCTTTAGAATCGAGACCTTGAGAGACAAAAGTCTGTACTAGCATAACCATGTTACTTTTACCTTATGAGTGGGATGGTCTTCTATGGATACTTCAGTTTCATTTTCTGCATCTTCAGCCCTTACAGTGGGGATTGCAGTGTGCTCAGATGTTACCAACATTTCAGCCTGTTGGAAGGAACTCAAGGAATCAGCAGTTGGGTTGGAATGATCAGATAGGAACCTTGCTTGTGTCTGAAAAAAATTAAAAACTGGTTTGTTATTCATGCCTAAATGTTAAAAATTTCTAGCTACTTTTTTCTTGTCATCATTGTTAGTAGTAATATATTTCATTTATACATGAGTTAAAAGATATTCTCTAGAATTTTTAAAGATACAAGCAAATAGTCAGAATATAATCTTAAGTGAAAACAAAATCCCAATCATGATGAAGAAAAAGTTATATATGCGGAGAATGGGGGAAGATAGGGCCAAAATAATTTCAATAATAACAACCTTTGATTTTTGGAATTATTTTCTGTGTTTTTCAAACTTTTACAAAGCATTTGTACTTTATAATTTTGAAAAATGTTGTTTAGCATAAAGTTGAAATCAAATTAACCATAGGCTATAGCACTGTGCATTTTCTTAAATCAACTTTTAAGTACTCACTGATAATTAGCAGGAAAAGTTATAAACCCTTTATTCAATATTTGCATACTTTCCTAACTCTATCAGTCTTATATTCATCAGGAAATCATGTAGTAAAAAAATAATTTAATCTTGAACTAATTGAAAGACTGTATGAAACAGGACACCAAGTCTAGTAGGGCTGAACAGCTATGGAGTATTATTTCCTTTACAGGAATAGCTCTATTTCTAGCAAGACTGGAGGCATAGATGAAGAGCTGGGCGGTGATAGATGATGGAGAAGTTGAACAACTGGACGTAGAGATAAGAGACCTTCCTTCAAGTCTTGACTCTGCTATTTACTATGTGTGGTGGTTTGACAAATTGTTCATCTGTACTCTCTCATCTCTCAAGGTGAGGTGAGCAGAAATATCAAGGTAAGGCTATGTATACAAGACGTTTTGTGAATTTTAAGGGGTAACCCAAGTGAAAAATTACTATAGCTAGTAGTAATATCACACAGTGGTAACAATATGAACTGTCTGATATCTTAGGCAGGTATTCATCACAGATCTTTATTAGAGAGATACTGTGAACACTCATGTCAGACAGGTCCAGGTATTAGTATAAAACTCAGATTTTATTTGAACTGACTTGTCTTTACTCCATTACCAGGTCCTGTAGTGCTGATTATATAGTGTAAAGAAAGTCATGGAGTACAGGATTTTATTGATTGATTTAATTTTAAAGTGAAATATAAATTACTTTTTTAAAGTTTTTATTTCATATTGGAGTATAGTTGATTAACAATGTTGTGTTAGTTTCAGGTGTACAGCAAAGTGATTCAGTTATACATATACATGTGTCTATTCTTTTTCAAATTCTTTTCCCATTTAGGTTGTTACATAATATTGAGCAGAGTTTCCTGTGCTATACAGTAGGTCCTTGTTGGTTATCTATTTTATTCTATTCTATTCTATTCTATTCTATTATTTATTTAGTTAGTTAGTTTTTGGCCACACCCCACAGCATGTGGGATCTTATTTCCCTGACCAGGGATCAAACCCACGCCTTCTACATTGGAAGGCAGAGTCTTAACCACTGGACTGCTGGGGAAGTCCTATATTGTTTTATTAATTTTTATTGGAGTATAGTTGCTTTACAACATTGTGTTAGTTTCTGCTGCGCAGCAAAGTGAATCAGTTATACGTATACATATATCCACTCTTTTTAAGATTTCCTTCCCATTTAGGTCACCACAGAGCACTGAGTAGAGTTCCCTGTGCTCTACAGTAGGTTCTCATTAGTTACTTATTTTATACATAGTCGTGTATATATGTCAGTCCCAATCTCCCAGTTCATCCCTCCACCCCCAGGATTTTTTTTAGATGTGGTTTCTTCTCTTGCTTCTTATTACCTTTTCAACTAAAAGGAATAATCATATTTGAAAAAATTTCCAGAGAAGCCATTTTTAAGAGGAGCATGGAGAAAGAACGGTGGCCAGTTTGGCAAGTTGCTGGCAGGGGCCTGATGGAGGACAATAGTGGAGGAGACTTTCTGCTTATTAATGGAGAACTGCTCCCTGTCTCTGCACCCTTCTTCCTCCACTCTCCCTCAGCAAGCTGGAAGAAAGGCAACAGCTTATCTTTCAGAAACACAGCAGTTTATCTTTCAGAAATTTTCAGAAAGTGAAATTCTGTTTCATTATTCTCTCCACATGTAACAACATACCCTCTGGAAATCTGTGTGGTTTCTCTGAACCATACAGAACTCACTTATTTCTGGAGATTTCAGGCAGGCAGGGAAAATGATACAAGATTTTTAACAGGTATATCCTTTGAGAAGATACTTAGTGGTTTTTTTTGTTTTGTTTTGTTTTGTTTTGTTTTGTTTTGTTTTTTTGCGGTACGCAGGCCTGTCACTGCTGTGGCCTCTCCCACTGCGGAGCACAGGCTCCAGACGTGCAGGCTCAGCAGCCATGGCTCACGGGCCCAGCCACTCCATGGCATGTGGGATCCTCCCGGACCGGGGCACGAACCCGTGTCCCCTGCATCGGCAGGCGGACTCTCAACCACTGCGCCACCAGGGAAGCCTGATACTTAGTTTTTTAACACGGGACTGAGTCTATGAAAAAAATTTTCCTAGCAGGGAAACATCTGGAACATGTCTATATGCAGGCGTGTCATTCAAACATTTAGTTCAAAGACCCTTTTGATGCTTGTTTACATAGTGGCAACAGCTGCAAGGGCAAACCGCATTTTCAAGAGAAAACAATGGTCCTGTGGGAACTTCTCTCTGTGCTGAACATATTAATTATTCCACTTCTGTAATTTCAGAGGAGAATTTATAATTACAGCTGGAGTAGCTCCTCGTTGCTTAAGCATGATTCTTAGCAGTGCTCACAAATTCTTTTTTCTAAGAACTACTTGGTCTGGGTGGCATGGTGTTTATCCTTGCTGACACATCTGTCAACCAGAAGCTATCCAAAAAGCAAGGACAGGGACTTCCCTGGTGGTCCAGTGGTAAAGAATTTGCCTTACAATGCAGAGTACACGTGTTCGATCCCTGCTCAGGGAACTAAGATCCCACATGCTGCGGGGCAACTAAGCCCGCGTGTAGCAACTACTGAGCTCACACGCCTCACCTAGAGCCCATGTGCCGCAAACTACAGAGCCCCCGTATCCTGGAGCTCGTGCACCACACAACTAGTGAAGAGAAAACCTGCACGCCACAACTAGAGAGAAGCCCGTGCACCACAAAGAAAGATCCCGCGTGCTGCAACTGAGACCCGACGCAGTCAAAAATAAATAAAATATATAAATAAATAATAAATAAATCTTTAAACAACAACAAAAGCAAGGACAGAATCTTAGACGTAGTAGAGAGGGAAGGAGAGAAGGAACAAGAGATAAATTGCTTTGTCTATTTCAAGGAGGTTGATTCATCAACCTCCTTGAAATGAATTCATCCATTCATCCATGATATGGATGCTCTGGGAGATATCCAAATGATCATCCAAGCTACGGTCCCATTAAATCAACAAAGACAACGTTCAGGTATTTTGAGGCTGCTGACATGGTCTCAGATGATCTGATTTGTGTGTGGCTGATTTATTGCAGTGTAAATGGTGGGGCTAGTATATCTGGCTGTGAAGAAAAGAAAGTTCTGGTCCTGTCTGCTTTCAGCATGTCTGCTTGGACATACCCCCAAGTGTGAGTTAGGAGCTGATTTATGGTTACCATATCATTTCTTGTCCCTAACCTATTGGGTCTTGCTTTCATTATAGACTCAGAATTTCTCAGCCAGTATGTATTGATCTTGAAGAAAATGCTGCTGGCGAGTGTGGGTATTTGCTCCAAGATTTCTCATACTAATTTCTTAGATTTTTCATATTAGCCTGGTGAGCTTCCATAGGAGAATTTATTTCTTCCTGTTCTCTTTGGTATTTGGGCATATTCCCTGGCTAATAGACTGTTAGTCAACACTTTCAGCTGCGTACTTGTATCTTGTAGAACCTGTTAGCTCTTAAAGAAATATATTTTTTGTCGACCTTTTTTTTGTTGTGTCTCGCGGCTTGCGGCATTTTAGTTCCCCAACCAGGGATCGAACCCGGGCCCCCTGCAGTGGAAGCATGGATTCCTAACCACTGGACCACCAGGGAATTCCCAAGAAATATATATTTTTAAAGTACCTTATTTCATTTTTACTAGTCATTCATTCCTTGCTTGGGAAAAAAACAATTTGATTAAAATAAAAATGAATTTATCTGCGAAATAGAGTTACAGATGTAGAAAACAAACTTATGGTTACCAGGGGGGTAAGGTGGGGAAGGGATAAATTGGGAGATTGGGACTGACATATAAACACTACTATATATAAAATAGATAACTAATAAGGACCTACTGTACAGCACAGGGAACTCTACTCAGTACTCTGTAATGGCCTATATGGGAAAAGAGTCTAAAGAAGAGTGGACATGTGTATATGTATAACTGATTCACTTTGCTGTACACCTGAAACTAGCACAACATTGTAAGTCAACTATACACCAATAAACATAAAAAAATTAAAAAAGAGAACTTCAAACCATCTATAAGAACATTTTATTTATTTATTTATTTAGGGAGGGTGGTCCCTGATTTGTTTATTTCTTAAAAATTTAGGGCTATATAAAATCAAAAGCACCTCACAAGTGATATGATTAACATGCTACTAAGTAAATAGCACAAGCTGAAGAACATTTTCTTTTAAATGGAGGATTTCTAAATTGAATGTCAGGAAGGAGAGATGTAACAATAGAAGAAAGGATATTTACCGGGATTGCAACTGCAGTTTCCAAAATGAATAGGAAAAAAATCACAGACTTCATTTTTCTAGACCTGTAAACCAAGAAGATAATTAGCAGTAGTGGGTAAAATTTCCTTGTAAAAGATTAAAAGATACTCTGCTTAGCAAATATTGAGCTTGATACTGTTCTTTGTATTTAAAGGCAATTGTTGTCCTTGTGGACTAACATGTCTGAAAAGACCGATTAATGACAGTTTTTACCCAATCATGTCCCTCTGAGAATGACTCCTTGATTTTTTGGCCCAGCTGTGTTTGGCAGAACCTGTCTTTGTTTTGTTTTGTTTCTATTAATTTATTTCTTTTATTTTTGGCTGCGTTGGGTCTTCATTGCTGTGCACGAGCTTTCTCTAGTTGCGGCGAGCGGGGGCTACTCTTCGTTGCGGTGCACGGGTTTCTCATTGCGGTTGCTTCTCTTGTTGTGGAGCACGGGCTCTAGAGCGCAGGCTTCAGTAGTTGTGGCACGCGGGCTCAGTAGTTGTGGCACACGGGCTTAGCTTCTCCGTGGCGCGTGGGATCTTCCCGGACCGGGGATCGAACCCGTGTCCCCTGCGTTGGCAGGCAGATTTTTAACCACTGCGCCACCAGGGAAGCCCACCTAGCTTTGTTGATGACTGTGCTTTCTTGGATAAAGGCTTTATGCAGATCTTGGTTCTGAAGATTTGTGAGTGTTCACAGTGAATGCAAAAGTCACAAAGCGAAGTAATATAGTGGGTCAGGTTTGGATTAAACAAACTGCTTCTTTGGTGTTGGAGAAACTCATACATTCAGTAGAGATTTTTAGAAATGAGACATTGCACTGCCCTACAGGGGCCATCCATGTTCACTAATTTAGAGGTCGCACATTGGGAATCTGTGAGCTGGTGGTGGCTTGCAGATGGGTTGGGTTTGGCAGGCACTGTGTGTTTTAAACTAGCATTCTAAAATCTGGAGCTTTCATGTGAAAGTTCAGACTTGTAGTTTCTCTTGAACCATTGAGCCTCTTAGCACCAATATGTCTTTATGGCAACCGCTGGCTGGATCTGAGTTGAGACTATCATCTATAAGTGGTGCTGGCAGTTGTACCTGGTCTGTCTCATTTTTGTTATTTGCCATGCATTTGAGTTTAATTAGTTCCAAATGAACTTATTTAATTTAGAGATGAAACAAGTGAGGCTCAGGGAGGCTAAGTAAATTGGCCTCCACATGAACTCTTAAAAGAGTGGGCTGTCTACGTTTTCTTGCAGAGTATCCCTAAGCCTGGTAGTCTGAACTCTGACTGGGATTAGGGGTACACTTTTTATTCTTTAATAGAGATTCTCTGGATCTCCCAGAACTAGAATATGACTTTTTAAATGATTTTTTAGAGTCATAGCTTTATATGTAAATACATCCATACAGCTTTAAATATTACTTTGATGTTTATAAAGAAGGTGAGGAATTTCTGCTAGTTACTCAATATTTTTAAATAAATGCTCAGGTGGGTATTTAAAAATATCTTAATATTTAACATTATTCAACTAATTTAATACTGTAACAGCTCTCACTTCACACACACACAGCACATGCACGCACACATGCACACAGTACTCTTCTTCTCCTCCTTCCCCTCCCCCTCTTCCTAAAATAATTGTATCACAATTCTTATTTAAATCACTATTTGACATTTTGACAAGGTAAATATTCTTCGTAGCTGAGCCAAGTAGCAGTTTCTCGTGTTGAGTAATACTTACATTTCTTTTCTTGAACAATATTTTGTTTTTGTCTGGACCTAGAAATTGTCTCCCTTTTCAAAGTACTTTCCCATGTACCCATCACTTATTCTTCCCAAATCTTCCAAGGTAGGTGAGGCTATTAAAATAAATCATAATCTAGAATTTAACGTTCAGTCACTCTTTTCACCAGTATTTATTAGGTTTATGGAACTCTAGTCATTTATATTTTAGATCAGCATATTATTACTAGTCTGCTGTTTTGGAAAACCGTTAATGTAGTATAGTTTCAGGCAGGGTCTCTTTATCTTGGCACTATTAACATCTTGGGCTGCATAATTTTCAGTTGTGAGGGCCGTCCTGTGCATCGTAGGACATTTAGCAGCATCCCTAACTTCTGCCCATTGTATGTCAGTAGCAAGTCCCTCAATCCCCACCAGTTATGACAACCAAAAATGTCTTTAGACATGGCCAAGTGACCCTGGAGGGCAAATTCACCTGATTTAGACTTACTGTCTTAGTAGAAGGAACGTGGTGCTTTGGAAACACATGTATTTGACACATTAGAAACACATGTATTTGAACTTGAACCCACACTTGCCATCCATGTAATCTTTGGAAATTACTTAACCCTCTGAACCTCAGATTCCCCATCTGAAAATGGGGATAACGTCTGTGATGGTTAATTTTATGCGACTACTTGACTGGCCTGTGGGATGCCCGGGTATCTGGTTAAACATTATTTCTAGATGTGTCTGTGAAGGTGTTTCCAGAAGAGATTAGCATTTGAATCAGTAGACTGCATAAAGCTGATTGCCCTTCCAGTGTGGGTGGGCTTCATCAGATCTGTTGAGGGCCAACAAAAAGTTGGAATAAGGGAGAATTTGCTCTCTCAGCCTCCCTGTTTGAGTGGGAACATTGGTCTTCTCCTGCCCTTGGTCTGGACCATATACCATCAGTTCCTGGTGCTCAGGCCTTCAGACTAGAAGTGCACAGTTACATGAGATCACCATGCTTACTGGGTCTCCAGCTAGCAGAAGCCAAATCATGGAACCTTATCAGTGTATGTAGTTGAATGAGCCAATTTCTTATAATCAGTCTCTCTCTCTATATAAACATAAACATAAACACATATCTATTCCCTGCCACCCTGGAGAACCCCAATACAACATCTAATTCAGTTTTGTGAAGATTAGAAGAAATAGTATTTGTAAAAATGCCTGATACCTAGGAGATGCTCAATACATCTTTCTTCTTTCTTTTTTCATTTTCCATAAAAGTCAAATTGCGATTCTTAGATAAACAACTTAGAGCCTCAGAAAATAATAGAATTTAATTTTTGCTGTGAGGTCAGAATAATTTTCCAGTGGACATTTAGAGTCTCTTTTGCCCACACATTTACCAAAGCTCCCTGTAACTTGAGGAGTCTTTCCTACATTCATCACAAATAACAATGGAATTAGGCTAAGGCACCGTTACCACATTTCTTATAAATGGTAGCGACATAAAGAGGAAGCAAAAATCAGTAAAAGCATTGTGGGTTTTAAAACTAATTTCCTTCTGATTTTAGTTTTTATAGCACTATGTATAGCTAATTAAACTTGAGAAAATATTTCCCTTTGATTTGATCATAGGATCTCACAAATTGCCTTCACTTTCTTAAATCTAATGCAGCTGAATGAGTCAAAAAGAAACATGTGTCCAGTTGGCCAGAGCTTGCATCACTCATCTACTCTGTTATTCATTTATTGAGCACTTACTAGACACTGCCTAAGCACAGGGCCACATGGTTCCTGTCTGAAGAGTTACAAACGAGGAAGTCAAGTAAATCAGTGATTTAGTATCATGTGATGAGTATGTACATAATGCTGTGGAAATACGATAAGAAGCATTTACAGTTAGGTAGTTAATGTTGCTAACATTTACTGAGTCCTAAGGGCTTAAGTTACAGGCACTGTTCTGAGGGTTTTGCACATAGTAACTCTTTGAATCTTCCCAACAATTCTACAAGGTAGCACTTTATTTTCATCATTTTATTAGTAAGGAAACTAAAGTTAAGTAACGTGTTCAAGGTTACTCAGTTAAGTGGCAGAACCGACATTAGAGACCTAGCTGTTTGGTTTTATGTCCATGTTCTTAATCAGTACTCTATAGTGCTACTGTATAGAAAAGACTTTCAGAGGAGGGAGTTCTTAACCTGAGATCTGAAAAACCACTCAGTACTAGTTAGCTGTGTGAAAGATGGAAGGGCAATCTAGAGGGTGGAAGCAGCATGGGGGAAGGTCCAGAGTCATAAGACAGCATATGTTTGAGTTGCTAGGGTGTTAGTGGGTGAAGCAGAGGGAGATAAGGCTCAAAACAAGGCAAGTCTCTGTGCATTAAACTAGGAATTTTAAGTTCCAGTTGAAAAGCTATGGGTCTTCAATGACTGTAAGTGGGGGAATGATATAATCAGATCTGAGTGTTAGAAAGGGTCCTTGGGACAGCGATGTGGGGGACAGATGAGTAGAAAGACTTACTAGGAGGAAATTGCAATATCAAGATGACAGGTGGTCAGAGCCTTAAATTTTGCCTCTGGTCTTGAGAACGGGAAAGAGGGGGATAGATCCAGCTTGTACTGGCTCATGAGAGCCAGTTGTTAAATTTCCAGGAAATTGGTGAGCTGGCTATTAAACAAAGCCATCACTGAAAATTAAAGTATATACACTTACAATTTAGTTATGTTAAAAACAAAAGAAATAAATACTCAAAACTCATCATTTTATACTTATTTTACTACTTTTACTGCTACTACTCTCTTGAAGTTATTTATGCCTGTTGTATCTGTAGGTGGAAATACTATATAATGTGTGGTAATGCACTTCTCTTCCCAATTCTATTCAGTGATGTCACATTAGTAGCTTGAAATCAACCATGGTGGGAGGATTACACCATGGAAATCATCAAATGCTACTCATCCCCCAACCCCTGCAAAAGCTGGTAGCTAAACATTTGCCAGTATACCACTGGATAGTTATGAGAAATATTTAAAGCCGGAACAAATAAGACTCAATGTCAAATTGTATACTGTGGGAAGAAGCGAAGGACGAGTCTTGGGCTATCACATTTCTAATTTGGGCAACTGCGTAAAGGGTGGTGGTAATACAAATATAAGGGATTATAAGAGTTTTAGAGGAAAGATGATGATTCGTTTTGGACTTGTTGGATTTGAGTAGAGATATACTTAAATGAATGGGTCTGGAGGTAAGCATAGAGTTTGGGACTAAAGGTATAGTTTGAGTGTTTTCTGCATGAAAAGCTATACAGTGAGTAGAACAGAGGGCAGGAGCCAGAACCCTGGTGAG